ATATTGTATCATATTTTATTATTTATTAGAAAGTGCGCCAAAAAGTATTAAGGAATTGCATTTTTTAAGAGGTCTCCAAATGAATGAATTAAGTTTTTGTATGAACAACTTTTTGTATTATTCAAGATCAAGATTAAATATCTAAAATATTGTAGCATATTTTTGACCCTCTGTTAGTTGTTTTAAGAACTTTTGTGATTTCTTTGACACAGCAATACTATCTACTTGTTTCTTATGTAAAAATATTTTTGATAATAGTTTAAAACACTTTTTAAGGGGATATTAAATCGGGAATTACGATATTACGATCCTTATAATCTATAAACAAGTATGTAACTTTAAGGAGCACATTGTTTTCATATGGTAAATACCAAGACGAAACCTTTAAAAATTCCCACACCTATTATTTTAACCGCAGCTGTTTAAATTGCCAAATATGACAGGCTGTTGTTTGAATTATTCGGCCAAATAAAAATATATATATAAACAGAGTCATATTATAAACCTGACTGACACAATCAATTTAGTATTAATTTGGGTGCGCATAAATCGTCAAATGGCGAATGGCAAATAAGCCGTAGAGACAGTCGATGCAAAATTAAATGCCTTGTGGCATAAATATTCATTGGCATTACAAAAACAACAACGAAAATAACCACAGCATCAACAACAAACATTTATTGCAATGCCAATAAGTCAGAGACTCTGCAGTGACATTTTCGGTTTATTTTAGAAGGATGGTGTGAGTGAGTGAGTGTGTAGGACTCTGGTCCTGCAATCAAAAGGAATAAAATCAACAATAAAATGCAAATAAATATGGCCCACACACGAAAATAAACACACATCGAATATTCCCTCTTTTCAGGAAAGCTCAAGTACATTGCCGAAATGCCAAGTAACCAAATAAACGTTCTTGGACAGCCCAAGACAAGGTTGGTTTGTTTAAATGCCGATAAACGCTACTGACATCCATATAAACATCAACTCTCATGCCGAGGTTAAAGTTAAGGGGATGAGGGAAAATAAAACTGGCTTTTCCAGGGAAAACGGAAGAATGGCATTAAACTGTCCAATTGTTTTTGTGATCGATTACAACGCACTTTTATATGCCGGACCTCAATCTGTTCGAGTTCCTCCGGCTCCCTCCATCGACTTGTCTGGTTATAAATTGGTATTTCATGGAAACATTTAACTTGCTTTCAATTGTTATGCGATGGCCATGACATAAATCTATAAAAATGGTTATTTCAAATAAATTGCGGACAGCCAGCAGAATCGAACAAAAGTCGTACGGAAAAGCGGTTTGAAAACAGAAAAAAGAAAACATTTTTAGGACATTCTGATTAATATTTACCCTTATGGGTCGATCATTATTTGTATACAAAAGTATAATTTTTATTTTTATTTCTTTCTGGGGGTATCTTTCTATATTATGAATATAATTTAATTGAGGGAAATTTAAAATGTATACAAAATAACACCAAAGGTTTATGTATTTCTTAAACGTTTTAGAATTTAAATACTTTAAAGTAATCAAGAAACTTTATGTAATGTATTTGATGTATCTACCCTTTTAATAAAAACATAATCTCCTACAAAATCCCAGTTTTTAAATTATAAAAGAAATATACTTTTGGCACAAGCACACAATCGTTCCAAAGAAATGAATAATGCCAAACAATTACAAAACACTAAGCTCATTTGACTTTTCATTGCATTAGCCAGAGTCGAGTTTCACTCAGCAGCGCTTAAATTTAATTGCATTTTCCACATTCCCAATGGCAACCAGTATTTTTGGGGGTACATTTTCGTTTCGACTCCCGCAAATGTACATGGAGCATGCCTCCGATTCCGGAATTGTGGGAGTTTCGTGGGCTTGGGTTTCTATGGAGGATTTCAAAGGGGTATTTTGGGGCTGTCGGGTGGAGGCTGAAAGGCTGGAAGGCCCCGGCAATTGCAATGCAAGTTTCATACGCAACTCTGGATAGAAACACACGCACATGCACATTTGATTTGCATTTCATTTGGCGTTGGTTCTGGCTTTGGCTTGGGCTCTGCCACTGCCACTGCCTCAGTTGCAGTCGCTGTCGCAGTCGCTGCTAAGTCGTCTTAAGCAGCACGTCGTCGTCGGTGGAAATGTCTGTCCTTATCCGTCCAGCTGGAGTATATGTGTGTGTGTGTTTGTGGGAGTGTGTGGAGCTCAAAAGCTCAAGCAATGAACATAAGTCTGTGGGCTAAGTACACTCACAAAAACTATCATGAATTCTTAAAAAATATTTATAGGCTTGTGTAGTAAATTATATCAAAAGAGGTATATTTTAATTGGGTTGTAGCTATTCACATACCAAATTTAAGCTAAATCGATCCTAATAAAACTTAGTTATGCTGTAAAATATCTTGAGGTTCATTATCAAAATCCTTTAATAAAATGAATACCTTTTTCGTATCCCAAATGCTTCACATATCAATTTTCATTACGACCGGGAATATATTACGATCATAATAAAAATATTTATTGCTCTGTAATATCTTGAATATACTTTTTAAGATAATTTTTTTATAAATCATCTTTACATTTTTCATTAGCTATCCGCATACCAAGTTTCATATCAATAAGACAAATATTATGACCATAGTTGGGATATTCGATGATCAACATAACATTTAAATGGTAATTCCTATATAGGAATTAGGTTTTCTTTAAAAATGTAATGAATTCAGTAATTAGGAAAAGAGCTCTCCTACATTTTAAAATAAAACATAGTATTAATATTATTTAAAGAATGAATATCTAAGATACAACATTTAAAAAAGAAAGGAAAAACATAATATGTTACAATAATTCCATCTAAAACCCCTACTTTCTGTAAATTATTAAACCTTAGTTCTTTATTTCAAACACTAATCCTTTACAGTTCCAAGTCCCCTATACTTTTCTGTCAGTGTACGTATGAGAAGGAATGCTTGAATGCTTCCACTTACCTCCCAGAAGCCATTTCCGGCACTGGTCGTTACGTCACTGTAGGCCAGCACCGCGCCCGGCCGACTGCTGCGGAAATCGAATTTAATATTAAATTCTTCGGCGTGATTTATGGGCCACCAAATGTGTGATGTCGCAAAGGGATAGGTGATGGGTATGACATTCACTTCGTTCTCAACGAACTCCGCCTCCAGTACGCCTGTGACCCAGAAACAGAAACAGAAGGACTCTCGGTAATAGTATGCCAAAAAATATGTCGCCGGCAAATCGCTACACTCGATATATTAAATTGCTCTGCACTCACCGTGATAGTGCACCTTGGGATTGCCCCGCTGCAGTTCGTACAGAATGGAGATGTCGTTGTAATAGACATATTTCAGGCTGCCCACGAAGTTGTTGTGCGAGGCCAGGCCCTTCTTCTTGTGCAACTCAGGACCTCCGCCGAAATATATCTCCGGATCGAAGAGTAGATTCCCACTAGCCGTGGGAGGGAGTTCCAGGACCTTTTGCTGCTGATCCAGTATAATGCTCACCGTTCGCTGTTCATGCAATATCGTAAGATTGTGCCAATATCCGCGGGTTAAATCATCTGTTAGTATCGTGCTCATCACATTATCGCCAAAATCCATTTCCACATGAATCGATTGGTTCTTAATGGCAGCGGCTATATACTGATGTTTCAAGGACTCTCCACTGGCATAAAACAGGGCGGAATCATCGAAATTCGTGCGGAACATGAGGCTAATGCGCCGCGTGGAGGAATGCACACGATCCTTCCAGTCGTATATCCTGTAGGACACATAGCTGGCTCCACGCAGAGTAATTATAGTGGCCGCTGCAAGGGAAAGACAAAGTCCATTGATTAATTTATTAAGTAAAGCCAGGCCAGTTACTGAATATCCCCCCTCAAATATGCACGGGATCTCAGGAAGTCGAGCTTAATGCCACCTTTAGCATATTTGCATTCAGTTTTCACTATGCCACAGCTTACTACAAATGCCCAAGCAAATTTCAACAGGATTCTCTTCCCTTTAAATAACTTTTAACACATAGTAGAGTGTTGTATATGTTGTACATTGTAATAAAATTAGTACATTTTGAAATTTTGTGGTAAGCTTAGCTCTTAGAAACTGAAGCATATTGCCTTTGCTAAGTTCTTAAATCTTTTTAATACCATAAGAAATTATATAATTATTTGTAAAATGTAGTAATAAATCATCATACATGCTCTACAAATGAAATCTTATAAAATTTATTAGAATATGTAAGTTTTTTGTATGTAGAGTACTTAATAGTTCGGTCTTTTTATATCCTTTCGTGCATTATCTGCCTGCCAGCCACACTCACACATTTTCACCCACAAAACAGGCTAAAGGAAAATGCAGAGAAAAAAGCTCCAGTGGTCCACAAAAATAGATTATATTGTTTGTTCTATGGCGGCCTTTAGGCATTCGCCTGATGTTCGTTCCGGTTTCGTTACGTCCTTTTTCCCGGACCAAATGTGCAAATCGTGTAACGCGCAATTTTCATGAACAATTTTTTTCCTCTCTGCCTGTGGTGCAGTTGTTTGCGGGGGTGATGGAGGGTTAAGGAAAGGGGTTAAGGATGGCGCTATGATGGGCTGACAGCAGCCGCGTTTTGGTCGCTTATCTGACACTGCACACGTGGGCCACGCCCAGACGATAAAGTAACACAACCCACGCATAGCCAGTACTTTATGCACTGAGCTAAAAATCTTTAATTATATCTAAGAATTTAATATAAATTAAAACAGGAATAAGATAAGATAAACAGACAGCAAATAGAGCATGGAATTTGTGTGGTAACATCTTTAAATGGACTTGAAGATAACCTCTATTATATTATAGATATTGATACTATTGATATTAGAGTATCATTTCTAGAAGACTGATGACAAGTAGCACATACTATTTGCCTACATCTTAGGAGGAATAAATATTAAAAGATATTTTTAAACTTCTTAATTTTCTTTCTCAGTGCCAAAAACCACATGCGGCGCTCCAAGCTTACTTTATAATTTTATTTGCATTTTTTCTGTCTGGGGTAGAGTGAACTTTCTGCTGCATTGGACCGCAAAAGTATGTTACAATTTTTTGTGGACTTATGTTAATGCAGATGCATAATGAGCCCTGACCCGGCGATATGTTGTCCCATTAGAGTAGGCCACACCGGGAGACAATCACTGTTTTCTTGGTCTTGCCATTTTTTGTACCAAATTGCGGACAGCTCTGGAGGACACGAAGGCCACTGCGCACCTGGCCAAAGATGACTCGCGGCAGCGGATCCACCGAAAGTGGCTTAAAGCTGATTGTATAGCTGAGAAGTCCCTGCGGGAAGTTTCGACGATAGTCCCAAGGATAAGAGAGTAGACCTGTAAGCTTGCCGGGATCAAGGAACGAGCGCTTCGAACTATGATGTTCGCTTAAGGTATCTCTGTTCTCCGGCAGCAGTTCTCCCTCCATCCAAAGATCAGAGAAGATCCGGACGAAGCGGTGACTCTGAATATCATTGTGCGTGGCCATGCGAACGAACTCCAAGACCACCTCGGGACTTATCTCCGTGTAGAGCTGGAGTAGCATGCGACCCAGAAACTGATTGTTCTCCAGCACCGCCAGATCAAAGTACACAATGGGACGGAGTAGGATTTGGGCACTCCGCTTTCCCAGGCGAGGCGATGGCATATAGGGTATAAACTCGGACACCGTCTCTATGGAGGCCTTTTGCTCGAGGGGCCTAAGTGGTGCCACTAAGGGATTCAGGGACTCCACCTTAGGGGGAACATGGTAAAGTTAAGTACAGTAAAGTACACCCTCACCCACACCCACCTTGGACTTGACCTTTGAGAGACGACAGCCAAGCTGCCGGTTCTCCTGATTGAGGCGTTCGGTCAGGACACGGATCTTATGTCGATTCGGCTGCAGGGCAGGAAACTTGCGGTTGAAGCAATCCACAGTGCTCTTCACCCGATTGATCTCGTTCATCTTGGCAAGGAGCTCGAGATTATTCCGGAAGAGAATCTGCTTATTGCTAAGCTCGTTCTCCAGCTTGCTGCAATTGAAGAAGGGAATCTCTCGAGTTGGCCGGGAATCGACGGTGGACTTGATATTCTTGAGCCGACCACGATTTATCTGTGCCTGTCGCAACTCCACCATGCTCTTGAAGGTGATCACATTATTATCGGCCATAGTCCTCTTCCCGGCGGATCTCATTATCTGCCGGAACTCTGAGTATGTGGGGACTCTGTGGCGGGGCAACTTTTCCCGCACCATCTTATCCGTCAGCAGATCGCTGGCCACCTTTTGGGCCCGCAACTGAGCTTTCCGGCTGCTCTGATTTTGGGCGAAGAACTCGGAGTAGGAAACAGATCGCATCTTGTGGTCGTTGGAGGGACTACTGGACCACAGTTTCAATGATTTCCGTTCAAGTTTAACTTGCAAATTTGTAGACTCAAGCAATTTGTGGCTTTTGTGTTTGAGTGTATTTGGTGAAGGCTTGTGTTTGAGATAAATAAACGAAGCACTGTTTGACTTATTAACTAAAAGCCAGCTTTGATGGATAAATTTGCATAGAAAATTATAGCATCAGAACTATTGAATATTAAATCAACTATATTTCTTTTACATTAGTTTACTTGACTAAACTTAATTTCAGTTTAGAATAAAAAGCAAGGTATTTTCATATAATCACTGTACATCCAAAGGTAAACTCTGTACATGGTCACGATATAATCCTTAATATTACCCGTATCTTTAATATTTATAGATATTATATGCTACTTTGTACAACTTAGGCCATTAAAAAAAAATCCATAAAAATCAAAACATATCTAATCTCCCTTCCTCTAAATTAAATCGTTTATTTATTCCACATTCCTTTACCTAAATCTTTAGGCTTCACTTTGATTTATAAATAAATTATTAATTACCACTTCAAGTCTAACAAGAGGTGTGAATTTCTCATTCAAGCCTCGAGTGTTGTCTATTTTTGCGTGTCATTATTTAATTAGTAATAATGAAGCTAATCTAATATTAATAAACTACAGTTTTGGGGAATTTTAAACAACACATATTTATTATCAAAAGGAAATGGTTCAATAGACTGACAAGATCTTTCATTGATTTAAAGAAAAAGAAAATAAGGTTTAAAAGAACAATTTTAAGTAATCCCATTAATGACCGACACCAATTAATAACCCCAATTGCAAGCTACTATCATTGTAATTGTTGCCTGAAATCTGGCCTGAAGAGTTGCACAGCTCCACTCGCTGCATCATGAATGTCAGTCGGACTGACAAGTGTCGGCCAAAAAGAGTCCAGAGATGACCTAAGCCTGGGAGTCATCATATCGGACATCAGAGGACGACATGCCATACCCACTACCCCGCGTGCCCTTTGTCCTGCTTTCCCCCTAGTCCAGCTGTCCTGTTGGTCCTGCTCTCTTTCATGGTTGGCATTGCAATTCGTTTATGCCGGAAGAAGCCGAAAAATCTTGTAGTCTCTTTCAGAAATGTTGATGCCGGGTTTTTCGGGGCTAATGATTTCCCCAACTGAACGCATTTCGTTGACACTTTTAGCACGGAAATTTTGTGAAATCCGAATGAGTGCGGCACGGATAGCTGGAGGAGGGTTTAAGGGGAGGCTCAGGGGATGAGTGTAGGGTGGGGTGGGTTTTGGGTTTGGGCTTCAGGATGCACTGCACACGAACAGGCTCGTCCTTGTGTACTGGCAGTTGTCATTTTAGTTATTGCATTACAAAAGCGTCTGCGTTTGATTATGTCTCGTGTCCTTCGTACCCTGTATGAATTTTTCCCCATTTCCGAACACTGAGGGAAATTTTTACGAAAGAGAGATTAATATAATTTCCTTGTTTCATTATAATATGGTATGGTAATCTTAATTTTAGATCAAGTTTCCTTATACTTATTCTATAATATTATATAATTATTATGTAAATTTTAATTTTAGTGTTTTGAGTATAAAAATCGTGGGAGTTTTTAGTGAAATCTCTTTGTTATATTTATTTAATATAACAAATACGGGTGTGCTATTAAATATATGTAAATATTCCAAATTCAGTAATATATTTGTGTGAATGTTAATCAAAATAAATAAGGTTCTACAGATTTAAGTAATTTGTATTATTTTGCATATTAATAAAGACCTTGAATTTTCTAAGGATTTATATTTTGACTGATATTTTGCTCAGTGTAGTCTATCTCTTCAGCTCGCTATGTGCGAGCTTTTAATGGCCTGACACTGTTTCCGATCCAGGAGCAGCTCAGCATGCAACCGGCAAACCAGCGGGTGGAGCCGGGTGGTGACCCCGTAAGGGGTGAGGTGATGGGTGACGGGTGCGTGGGTGGTCTACATCTGTGTAATTTGCTTGCACTTGCCGTCGCTCGTTACGTAATTGTGATCAGTTGCAGAGGCGGCAACGACGGCGGCAGGCGGTGTAAATGCTCGGCAAACTCGCACGTCATGGCGGTGGCTCTCTTTGTCCTTGACAGACGCCATTTAGACACACCGGGGAGGGAGAGGGGGGCAGGACACGAGGAATTTTCCAAAATGGCCAACGCTGTCATGGCTGGCCGTTAGTGTTATTTTCCATTTTTTTTTGTTTCGCATTTTCTTTTTTGTTCATTTTGCAATTTGCAGCTGTCCAGTGCATCAATAGTCAGAAATCTCTGTCCCCTCTCCAAAAACTCCACTTAATTCCAGTGCCACCCGCGAAGTCAGGATTTTATTTTTGGAATTTTCCCTTTTCCCCGGTCTGAGTGTGTGTGATGTTGGTCATCATTTGCATGCAAATTTTTAGCAAACACTGGGAATGCAAGTGGGCTAAAATCTAAAGAATGCATGTTGAGATGCCCTAACTGAAGTTTGGTTTTCGAGAGCTACTTGGTTTTATGAATATTTTTATTTCATTTTTATGTCAGAAAAATTTTTATATTTTAGTTTAGGGATTAGTAGAATATTTTCCTACAAAATTCCAATTGAAAATTACTTTTGGGCAAGTCAGAAAATAAGTTTTCTTAGCCAAAACTTTTGAATTAAATCAAAATATCATGATAATAATATGAACATGAAGAGCGTTCATCGATAAATTTTTAATTTAAAAGTTAATACAAATTAATTTAAATTCAATTAATATTTTAAAATAAATAACAAAACGCTAAAATACACACTTCAAATTACGCATTCGCTGGACAATTTCATTTAACCATTAATTACAGGAAAATTAAGAACATTATTTCAGTAATTTGTTTAATGAAATATTAATTACTTTATAAACCCCGGACTAGGGTAAATCCCCTTCGCTTTAATCCTTGAAATGAAAACTCCCATTGTCGTGTTTTGAAATGCAAACTTAGTGCCTCGTTCATGTAACCTGCAAATCCCAGGCCCCGAAAACCTCCACGAAAACCTCTCTCTCTCTGTGCAATGTCAAAAAACATAAACGAGCTGCTCAATTTTTAATAGGCTTGCCTATATAATGGCCTCGCGTGACTTAATTGAGATTATGGCGGCCTGGAATTGGCTTTATGTCATTAACTAAATGTCGGATGTTGTCCAAGGGATGGGGCCGCAGAGGGATCAGGGTATGCCGAGGGGTTATATTATATATATTGAGCATAACAAACTAATTTTGCGCACATTCAGCCTGGTGTGCGGCCTTAGCTGGTTCGGCAGTCAAAAAGTCAAACACTATTTTGCATAATTTATGGTCAGGTCATTAGCGTGTTTAAAACTGTAGCGACCAAAAGGGGCCAGTGTGGGGGCTATGAGGTTAAAGGGGAGGGGCGATGGTAAGCCATGGCTAGTGGCAGTGGCTAACCGCTAGCAAACAAACATAGTTTATAATTAAAACAAAATGGCGCCCCTAGGGGCAAGTCCACACACAGAGATAGATAGATTCGGGGGTTTTCAAAAAGTGTGAGATGGATGTGTTAGATGCACTAGGAAAATTTATATAGTATATATTACAAAGAGATGAGTAATTTATATAAATAATTTAAGAAACAAAACTTGGCTTTGAAATGTCTTTTCTTGGATATATCAATGTGTATAAAGACAGCCCTCACTTATTCTTCAGTATTTGAAGCTGGCCCACAATAATCTTTAGTTTTTTGCAAGAACACATTGGGAATTTAAGTGTAACACAAGTGATAAGCGCTTAGGGCCCCCTTGTGTGCTTCAAACTTTCTCTCATTCAAGAGTTTTAATACAAAAATTTCAAAAACAAAGAGTAAGCTTATTCCAAAAATAGTTCAATCATAAGAGGTTAAGTACAACCTGTTATTCAAAGATATTTTCACAAATTCTATACTTAATCTATGTAAGGATATTTCTCTTTTGAAACTCACTGTATATATCGCAGTGCTCGCCCTCGTAGTGGGTGCCAAAGCAGTCGCAGGATATGCCGCCATAGTGGTTGATGCAACGCGATCCGACGAAGCAGAGGTTGTGCCGGGATTCGCACATGTCGGAGCAACCCTCGTTGACGTTCTCATGCTTGGTGGCCACCAGAGGAGCGATGGGCAGTAGGTCGGAGGCGGCCTTGCCGGAGCTGAGGACCACGTTCCGGATGCAGCCCACAAAGGACTCGGTGATGTATTTCACGCCGTGCAGCTTCTCCTCCGAGGAAAGGCCTGCGAAATTGCAAATGGTCAGTTGTTTGGTTTTTGGCCGGGATACCACAGATTAATTAACATGCTGAATATTTGCAAATGGATTTTGGCTATATCTGTGCAGGATTGTGGGTGGATGGGTGCGATGTGGTGCGGTTCTGTGCAGTGGCCGAGCCATAACATAATTTCGTTGTTTACAGTTGAAAGTTTTGATGGGATTTTTGGACGCTGCTGCTTCTGCTAGAGATTTAAATATTGCTTAATTAAAAAAGTTGTTTCCACTCAGTTTTTGGGATCAGCGAGAAGAGCGGTCGAAATAAATAAATAAAAGCTGAGAAACAGAGGCTGAGGCTCTTCTCCGCTTGTCCAATTATTTATGGATATAAAGAAGAGTTGTCTGCATTGTTTGAATATTATTTTTATAGAGATTTTAAATAATATTCTTTAAGAGCTAAACATTGTTTTTCTTCAATTATTTATTTGCTGTTAAACACAGGCAAGAAACACACATTATTTATACAACCAAACAATTTACCAAACAATTTGTTGATTAATATTAAAAATAAACGTTTTCAGATAGTTGGTTACAGATTTACTTATCGAGTTTTTTTAATGGCAAACATCAATAGATAACTTTTTCAGCCACGGTAACATTTTTTAAAATGCATTATTTAGTTTTCCATTCATTCTGGCAATTTGCAAAATGAAAATAGCATGTGGAAAATTACTTATTTACCACAATTCGAAGCATTGAAACAATTCCATAAAACTATAGCATGAAACTCTTTAAAAGTTTATTGATTGCACGCTTTCCATTTCACTTTTATCATCATCAATTGTCGGCCAGTCTCTTGGGGTTTCCTTTTTCAAAAGGAAAACCACAACAAAATCATTTTGCAAAGGCGAAAAAAAAGGAAAATA